ATGCACGCACACACACACACACACACACACACACACACACACACACACACACACACACACACACACACACATACACACCCACACACAAACACAAACACAAACACAAACACGTACAAGCACACATATATGCACACACGTTGGCTTATGGCTCAATACGTTGCTTTATGACTCACTCCTGCCACGACCTCTCCTATCATGCCTGACCACTCTCCGTTGTCTCCCAGTGTTCCATACCTTCCATCTCGGACGAGTGATAGATCGTATTCAAAATCTAGACACGATAACCATCATCACACAACAGAATAGACTAGACATAAACGATCAAAGCGTATTCACCATTATGACGTTCCTTCCGCTTTTCCACCTCCCCTTCTCTCTACCTCAGTTTGCTGCTAAAATTTCATCAATTTTTCTCTCCTGCTAACTTCCCTGCTATCTTCCTCAGTCAACCAATAGGAAATTTTTGCCAAATGTTTATAGTGTTTTTTATCGGCGTTTTAATTACGATTTCGTTGGATCTATGAATGACGGTGCGTACACTGCACGAGGATGCAGATACAACCACAGCCCGCGCTTGCCAAGCTACTGCTTACTACGACGTCTCCCCATCTCGCCATACAACTATCTCACACATCACGCAGCAAAAAAACCACAAGCCGCACTCCCAGCTATTGCTTACCTTGTCGCTTCGCGATCTCGTCAAGTACATCTTTGATGTAACCGCTAAACCTGTCATTGTCTCCCTCGGTCATGTTTGTATCGATGTCAAGCCAAGGCGTCGTCTGCAGAATACAATATGGCAGCCATCTTGTAATTTAACAATCGATTATAGTTGTTGATTTTGTATTTGCTGTTAGGGGTTATTTGTGAGAAGCCTTTAACTAAAATGCCTTTAGAATATTGTTAATTCGATGTATTAGTGTACATTAAGTTTGGCACGACATGCTTGCCAAGCTAGATTTCGATGTCGATGCTATAGTTGCTACACGTAGCAAATAACGAACGATCTAATGGATTCTAATAGTTTATGTCCGTTTTTCTTTGCTGCTTGAGCCATTTTAGAATTTATTTAGCTTAAGTTTATCGTAACAGCACTGACTAAGTCGATTTATAAGGCCGTTAGTTTAGCCTTTTCTCATTCTTGTGCATATACGCTTTTGAGGAGCAGCGAAGTAGTCGTAATGTGGGAGTCAGTCATGGACCCCGATTAGCAGGACCGCTATTAACGTCGCTATTTCCCGTCCTTATCGGTTCGTTCTGCTCGTTATATGTCTCGTAACTCACGGCGATCGAGACGACGGTCAGCGGCGGAGTCGCTGAAACAAAGAAAATCGCAAAAAATAAAAATCGCGAGTTGGCGATGGTGATTACAGAAAAGCTATACAATACTCACAGCCGAATACTCTCAGTTCAATTTCGCAGTCGAAAAAACAGCCACATCCCCCGCTCACGCGTACATGCACTCACGTGAACATACATGCGTGCATACGCACATTCACACTCACATACACAAGCACACACACACGTACACACCAATCACGCACACGCACGCACGCACGCACGCACACACGCGCGCACACACAAATACGCAAACACACACACACACACACACACACA